TCAAAGCCCTAAACCCTAAACCCGAAACCTGAAACCCTAAACCCGACGAACCCTTAAACCCTAAACCCCAACCCTTAAACCCTAAGCCCGAAACCTTAAACCCTAAACCCGAAACCTTAAACCCGAAACCCGAAACCATTAAACCCTAGACCCTGTTCTTTTGCTGAGTCTGGGGGATCTGGGCTTCAGTCGTGGAGTCATCTCCGGGTTTTTTCTGGACTCCAGACTACGCTTTGGGTTTCGGGTTTAGGGTTTAGGGTTTAGGGTTTAGGGTTTGCTGTCTAAAGGTTTGGGGGTTTTGGGCGTATAACGGGGTTTTTGCTAAGGCAATTAAACTAAGTTACCGGAATAAAAAAAAAGAAAACATGTCATTTACTATAGACCCTATTAGGGTAGCTTTAAAAGATAATCCCTGTAACAAAGAACCCAGACAAGGGCTTTAGGGTTTAAGGGTGAAGGGCATCAAGGTCTAAGGGCATGCATGTGTCAGGGTCTAGGGTTTAGGGTTTAAGGGTTTAGGTGCTGATGTAAAGGATCGACAGGCTGCTGGCTTGTGGGCACATCCATGGTAAGCGCAGCTTCGAATTGACGAACTGTTTTTCCGGACATATGCGAAAGTGCTTCAATGCCTTTGCCAAGTGCTAGGCTCTGCTGTGCTTTGCACTAACTTGAGCTGACTGAAGGCCTGGCTTGCAACTTTCACTAGCCAAAGGCCTGACATGCAGCAGCGAGCGGCTCCTAAGTTTCATCACTCCTCCTTGAGCGACAATGGAATCTGGAGCTCATACACCCCTCCATCTGTACTGAGCCGCTGGCTGAGAAAACATTAACGCACTCGAAGCGACCTCCCTTGGTTGTCGCGGCAACATTGGCACATCCTTAAGCCTTTGGCCTTCGTATTTCGAAGACCCCAGCATCCTTCCACTGTATGAAAGGTATCCCCATGCGGACTGACATAAACGGGTCCAGGATGCCATTCCCGGACTGGTACAGGAACTTCACGATCCAGATACTCAACAATCGGCACATAGTTCTCATCCATTGTAGTTTGGGTAGCCATATCCCTTCTGGAACCCTGCCGCATAGTGGGGGCCGAAGATGACGACGAGGACGCTGTAGACCGGGTAGGCCGTCCTCCCTCTTGGGGGGTTGCCGTCGTAGGTGAGGTCGTAGTAGCGGGGGGAATCACATCCTCCCTTTCATTGAGCTGGACTTCCAGCTCTCGTTGCACTGCTTCTCGTAGCCGCCTCAACCGTCGAGTAGTTCTGGAGTCCTGCCGCACACAGCACCGATCAACACAGAGCCACGCAAACTCCCAAATCCCGATCACAGCTACGGCGACAATAACAACAACCAAATATAGCTCCAACGACGAAGTGTCCAACGCCAAAGGTTCGTGAGCACGGGCTGACTGGATCATTGTACAAATAATCATCGCCTTCAGCATAGTAGCCGCAGATCCCTCGGTCATACGCCCGATCCCCCACATGTTCACAAGCTCCTCCAGCCTCTGCCTAGGGAAAGACTTGGTAAGAAGATCTGCAAGTTGTTCCTGGCCCTTGACATACTTTACCACAACCTTCTGAGCTTGAACTTGTTCCCGTATGAAGGCCGAACGTACACGTAGGTGACGTGTGCGCCAGGAGGTTGAACCACTCGGTTTGGCAATGGCGATGGTAGACTGGTTATCTATAGCCAGTTGTATCGGTAGCTCTCGCCCAACCAATTCCTCCAGCACTGCACCCAACGAAAGAGTCATCTTCAATCCTTCGATCGCCGCCGTAAGCTCGCTCTCCGCCGTCGACAGGCAAATGTAGGGTGTCCTCGTGGCCCTCCAGGATATTGGGGCGCCCATCCACGTAACCAATATCCCAGAGTGGGATCTCTTCCCCTCAGGTGCGTAGGAACTGTCCGTAAAGGTCACCAGGTCGTTGGTGGTCGGGGCAATCGTCAGGGCATACTCTTGAGTGTGCTGCAGGTAGGCGAGTAGTTTATAGCCTATGGCAACACACCGTGGTGCTGCCCGGCTAATCAAAGCTCCCATAGCATTCACCGTGAAACTTATATCCGGCCTCGTTCTTTGAGCCAGCCAAAGTAACTCTCCACATAGCCGCTGTGCCAACTTTACCTCGGCCTCGCTTCCCTTAGCCTCGTCCAACTCGGCCTCAAAGGTAACGAGGTGTTTTGGTGCTTGTATCGGCGAGCGCATAGTGTCCGAGATATCATGTGCTCGGATAATCTCCTTGATATAGGGCTGCTGGTGGAGGTAGAAGCGGTCCTTCATTCCCGTGGTGAGGATCTCGCAACCCAGGAACCTGATCCCATGAGATTCTGACAGAACCTCCAGCTCAGTCGTCTTCCAAGTAGAACTCAGCTTGCTGGCTACCGAACGTAGGTGTACCATTTTCCCGCACAACAGGATATCGTCCACGTAGATCAGGACCAAAGCTCCGGGTTCGCCGGTGGGGTCGCTGGCCTGAACCAACAGCCACAAGTTAGGCTCCGCATCCCCCTGCTTAAGCAACCACTCTTCGTCCTCAACAAAGAAGCGCATTTCCTTGATCGTGCTGTCCCGGTACTCGGACCATAGGCGAGGGCTTTGACGCAGCCCATACATTCCATGTGTTAATATCCATCTCTCGCTTTCAGATGCTAGCCCCAGCTTCACCAGGACTGAAGGTGGCTGGACCGCGTACACAACCTCGTGGACACCTTGAGGTAAAGGTGTCAGCATAAAGGCCCCCGCAATGTCCAACAAGGCGGTAACCCATCTTCTCCATGCTGTGTAGGTCAAGCAGCTTCTAAGGCTTTCAGCTGCTGCACCCGAAGCGAAGATGTCGGCCTGGTCCGGGGATGCATAGTTTCCACAGCAAACGATACGTGCCTTCCTTTTGCAGTACTTAGCTTCGCCCTGGTTGGTAGGCTCGTTGGAGGGGGGCTTGATTGTATACACGAGCTTCGCAGGGAGCTCCTGGACCTTGTGGGTCTGCTTGAGCTTCTTGACCTCCTCCACAGTAGATCTCCGAAACCCTTTTTCAACAACGCCCAGTTCTTTACTGATCGCGCCCTTCCACACTTCCAACGCTTGCCGTGCTTCCTGAGGACTCACATTGTGGGTGTGCCGTAGAGGAGTGTCGGTGTCCATCAGCTCTTTAATCAACTCCTCAATGTTGGGCGTGTACTCGGGCTCCAATTTCGCCATCCGCGGAATCACACATCCATCATCTCGAACCCAACCATCAACACAATCTGCAATGTCCTCCTGGTAGGTGGCGTTGGTAGGCAAGCCCAGCACTGCTTGCGAAGTTCGCCACAAAAGATCTGCTTCACTTCCCGTTCCCTCAGAATCGCACATCTTACGTAAACCGGCTGGGATATCATCAACGGCCTCCTCCTCAACGTAGATCCCCCACTCACCCCAAGTTTCGTCATTGTCCTCAGTGACGACAGCATCCTTCACCTCGCCGGGGAAAGAGCGAGCTCCACACAGCTCCTCCACACTTTGCGGAAAGAAGGTTGCCCTAAGCATCGGTCTGGTTTCCAACACCTCATCACTGACTGGGGCTGGCGGTGGTGGTAGTGGAAATCCACAACTTTCCAAGTAGATCTTATCGGCCTCAGACAACCGATGAACTCCATGAGGGGTATAAGCCGACAAAAACCATCTTGCTCCATTGTCCTTGAGGTAACCATGTCGTTGTGTAGGGGCAAAGATTGCCGGGTTGTCCTCAATGTTAACCAAACATCCATCCTGAACTTCACCCTTCTCAGGGCTCCACTGATAGTCTTCAGCTTGCCCTCCGCCTTGGACCGCGCATCCATCTTGGTCGTCTTGAACCCACAATCCCGCATGAGGGTCACGCTTGATTTCCATGACAAAGTTCCTTGACCCCTTTTGGTTGTGGACATCCTTGTGTAACGGTACTTCCGAGGCATGCTGAAGAGCGATTGATGCCCAGGTAAACTCAGCCTGAGACCCATTCTCGAACATCGTCTCTTTGAGGCGCTCCTTGAGGAACTTGTTCAGGTACAAAGTGGTCCATCTCAACTCCTTGCCGAGCGAGGTTACGCCAAACGTTCCTCCATGAACATAGGCACCAAGTAGAAGGCCACAACCATCCCTGGCTCTGGGAACCTTCAGGTTTCCACAATCCAGACCAATCTTGTCCATTAGCTTGGCACATCCCTGTTTTGTGGGGCTGCCTTCATCAAGCATCCGCGCAGCCATCAACTCAACCTCATAAGTATCTTCTGGGCGCAAACCCCGAAGGATAGGTAGATCTGTTGTAGTAGATGAGGTCTCATACTCCAGTTCTTCAAAGGAAACGTAAACTGGAAACATAGGTTGTAGCTGACGAACGGAAGGAGCCTTCCTACGAACTCGACGTAGTGGTGGTTCATCAAGTGGGATGGGGCCAACGCCAGCCCCTGCGGGAGGAACATCTGGTGGTGGTAGTGGTGGGGCTTCTGGCTCCTCTGGGTCAACGATCACCGTGGGAACGACCTGGTCAAGTGGAGGCGGATCCGAGGTGACCCGCACATGGGTTGTAGTCAAGAACGTCCCGGAAGGCTTCAATATCACATGTCCTCCACGAACATCCGTTGAAGGACCAAGGTACCACCCCTGAAGCCAATGAGGCGAAAAACTTTCAACATCACCAGTTTTGTACTTCTTCACCTTCACATACACCCGAGCCCCATAAGCCACCACTGTAGGGTCTGGTATTCCCAACTTCCCACACCTTTGCTGTACTGCAGCCATCTGAATAGCGGTAGGCCAATGCACTCTCGAAAGCCTCCCAGAGTCCAATAACGTCCTCGCCCTCCTCTTCAGGTATCTGACACCCGCTTCAGCTACCCCGTTCTCGGCCGGCTCCGATCCCGTAGACGTAGTCCTCAAGATTCCTTGGCTGGCAAGCCAGCGCTTCACAAGGTTTCCACGAAACTCACCTCCTCTGTCCGAATGAACTCGCACTACCGGATAACCCAGGGCCTTAATCTCAGTGATCATCTGCTGTAAGGCAGGTAAGGCGTAGACTGCCTTCTTGCCATTGATGGGGACGCAGTGTCTCGGTCTTGAGGGGCTCCTTAAAGATCGCCTTCATCCGCTCCCACTGCTCACGCTCTTTACGTAGTTCATCACCGCAGTAATCGGAAACCTCCTCCTCCAGCGGCAATTCCTGGGAATCAACATCCTCCTCTGAAAGCTCCTCCTCATCCTCGGGATCACCACCTGCAGGAAGGGGATGGCCTCTTAACTCATCATCTCGTCCAATGCCGCCCTCAATGACCGGGATCCTGAAGGCACCGACGAGGAAGAAACGGAAATATTTCCCGTCTGGAGAAAGGCCCCGACCCTTAATCGGGCCTGCTATATCCATCGATAGCGTGTATGCTGACGGGTGGAGCGTTGCCCGGTGCTGCCGCCCAGTTGCGGCGTTTCGGACGCACACCGAACAGTCCCTTCTTTAGGGGGTGTGCCCCCTTGCCACGGCATCGGAGTCCATCTTTGCCAGGCGAGCTACTCGCCCACCCGAAAAACTCTCAATCATCACCTCCGTCAAACCCATCTCCGAAAAGTAACCAGCTGCATCCTGGTTCACACACCAAGGCACCGGCATACAAGAGGCCGTGGGCTCATTCGGTGCCACCAAAACGCCGGAGCCCTCGACATGAAGCTGCACACCATCTCCTCCTCGAACAGCACGACCTGCAGAGGACAACGCATGCAACCAATGAACCTTGCTTCGATGAGGTGCTCCTGAAAGTTGGTCCAAGGGCCCGTTCGCGACGTCTCGGGCAATTATATTGCTTATTCGGCCTTGCACAGCCATCCACCAAAGCAACCTCCAAACATCATCAAACTCATTCTCCACCAACAAAGTGTTTACATTGAGGTACACCGAGTCCCCAACGTACATCAGGTGACGAAGTGGATCACGATGCCGATCCACCGATGGTGGGTCCCAACGGACCATGATTGAACTCGCCCTCAACAGGCGCTTTCGGGCTCGCCTGTTCAAAGTGAGAGCCTTCATGAGCTCCCAAATCCCAGGGCGAGGCTGGCGGATCACCAGCGTCTCCTTTAGCATCTGCTTGTAGTCAAAGTACTCCATTTTGTCCACTGCCCTTCTGCCGCTGTCGGTGCATCCACCACGAACGTAGTCAATCAAGTGGGACCACCAGCTTTGCCTTGCATCCCCAATGGTCTTCACCGTGGTAGCCGTAGATTTGCGCAGCTCCGGAAGCTGTTTTGCCTCAAGCTGACTGATAAGGGCAGCAGCAGTGCTTTCAGGTAGCTCGGGGCAGCCCTTCACCACTGTGAGAGGAAGAACTTCTCCTTCATCGCTTTGTAGTTCACACACATCTTTATCCCAGTGAAGCCGGTAACCCAAAGTTGAAATCACCTTGCCGAGGGGAACAATCACCTGGGCCAGCGTGTCACCGGTGAGAAGCGTTCCATCCGAGGTCTGCTTCATTGTAACACTAGAGTCCCCAGCGAGCTGAACACTCACGCTCTTGGCCTGGTTCCACTCGTTCTGGTCCTTCGGCTTCCGAAGGATATGGGTGGCACCTGAACCAAGAAGAGCATCTCGGGATCGCGGGGTCGTAGTAGGTGAGGTGGTAGAGGTCCAGCGACTGATAGCATTCAAGATAGGCTTCAAGATATCCAACTGCTGAACCTCTTGCAACACCCTCATAACCTTCATCTGCAAATCCGGGACCGACTCAAAGTTCACCCTCTTAACCGTAGCTTCCGTAGGCGAAGTGGTAGTAGATGTAGCTCCCGTGTCGCTGGCCCCAACAGCCCCCTGACGTCCACTTGCACGGGTCGGAGATTGTCCACCTCCTGGGGCCTTGCAGTCCTTCACCTTGTGCTGTGAGGAACCACAGCACAGGCACTTTCGCTGTCGGGCGCCTTTGTCAAGAAGCGCCCAGGTATGCGGGTACCGGCAAGCATTGCCCCTTCTACAACCCTTGTCGGAAGCAAAGTACTTGCAGAGGCCACTTCCACGAGGAGCAGTCGGCGAACCAGTAGTCGAGGTATTCGCCGCAGTCTGGGACGCATTAGCGGTAGCATCCGCCTGGCCAGTAATCGCCCGTAGAGCCGCGCCACCATCCAACTTGTTGTTGCCGAGTCTGGCCTGTTGCTCCATCTCTGCTTGCAGATGCTGTAGAAAAGTTGTCACCGTAGCCGAGGAAGGGCTCACATCCACCTGCAAGGTACTCCGAATCAAGCTCACCCTGAAAGCCAACTCTCCACTTCCTTTAATGATCTGACCGGTAATCCGGTCCAATCCTCTCACAAGCACTGAAGCGTCTGGTTCTGCCATCCCAAGCGTGGCCGCCCTCTTTCTCCACAAGCTCCACTTACGCAGTCCCTCGACTGCTTGGAGTGCCGTGAGGCACTCTTCTGGCTGCTCCAACATACGTAACACCAGTGTTTTCTCCTGCAAGTTCCCAGGTTGGTACACTGCATAGAGCTTGCACAACACCACCAGCGACGACACCTGGCCATTGGCGATGATCTCTTCCCTTATCGGCTTCGGGACAGCTGTGAGCATCATGGCAGTGGCGCGTCTCTCGACGCGTGCCCACTCTGGGCGAAGATCTGCACTCGGCCGTGGTTGAAGTTGCAGCCGGGCCAGCGGCGAAGCTGAGGCGTACTGGTTGTACCATACTGTAGCATCCTTGACTGTCTCTTGCCACCAAGCCAAACTTGTGTCCGACAAATCTTCCATTATCGGAGCTATATGCGTGAGCCAATGTAAAAGATCAATTGACCCCGTAGACGGCTGGTAGTCAGGTAGCGGTGGTAGCTCTGTTATCCCCGGCTTCACTGTCTCTGGCCTGTCTGAACGCGAGCCTTGCTGTTGGCGTAGCAAAGCCTCGATCCCCTGCGCCAGCGTCGTCAGGAGATGATCATTCTGGGAACCTGCATCTCGGCTTGTAGAGCGAGGTGGTAGAGGAGGTGGTTGAGAGGGAGGCACTGCTGGACTTAGCGTGGTAGACATGGTAGGCCTGGTACTCTCAGACGTATGACCCTCACGACCCAAGCCAAATAGCCCCGATAGAAACGCCCTCGGACCACCTGGTGACTGCGACCTCCCACTAGAGCGCCCAGTAAATATATTACGACCGTGACCAGGTAGAGGATGATTTTCCGGTATTCTAGAGGAAACTCCAGGGCCAAAAACCTCGGGATCTACACCCTCGGCTCGTCTAAGTCCATCACCCGGAGGTAGTGAAGCTTCAAGGCATACTGCACCTTTATCATCTTGACCGAGGCCTTCACTCCATCGAACCTGATCTTGCAACGTAGTAGCGCTCATAGGACCAGGTAGAGGATGAATTTGCAGGTATTCTAGAGGAAACTCCATGGCCCACGATCGGCTGTGCCTCGAACCCCGGGAACATTCCTGCTGAAGCTATCGCCGAGGCAACTGGCGGCTCAAGCCCAGGAGGGACCACAAGGGGCTGCTGGTCTGCAACCATACGAGACTCATAATGTTGCAGCTCAACTCGCAGTCTCTGAGCCTCAGCCGCAGCGTCCTCCGCACGACGCCTTTCATCATTCAGCTTGCCAACCATTTCTCCCATGGCCGCATCAAGTTGCCGAGACACTTCGGCCTGCAAGACTTCCGGTGATATTCCAACCGATCCACTGGAGTTACTCTCCGCCCTTCTCTCACCAGCTCCAGGAGAGCTGACCATCATGGTTTGCTGATTTTGCCACACACCTGTTGTTCCTGTGCCTATGGATGGCGGACTGGACCATGCTGTAACCTCCACCCGTCGCTGTATATAGTCAGCCAGGCGAGAAAACCATGATGTATTTCGGCCTTCGCTCCTCATAGCCGACGGCGACTGGCCCGGCAAAGGCGAAGGGCTGAAACGAGGCAATATGGGCAGCTGTACCGTAGACGTCGGTTCGCGCTCATTCGCTAATCCCACAGGCACTGACGAAACCGGTGCGGTGGTAGAGGCATCCATGCCTCCCAAGAGCCCTGTTCCTTCGACAGGAAGCTGACGCGGCTCCGCTGACGCTTGTAACGTGCTGCCTGCTTGCCCGGCCCTACCATCCAGCAAAGTCCTCTGATCATCACAAAAGGTAGTTCTTCCAACAGAAATGCCGTTGGGGATAGGTGCCGGTGCCTGACGATCCAACACATCCTCTCCGTGGCGCAGTGGCACCGGAGATCGCCCGTACTCGGGCCCTTGTTCTTCTCCTTCCAGCGTTGGGCTCATACCCTGCTGATGTAAAGGATCGACAGGCTGCTGGCTTGTGGGCACATCCATGGTAAGCGCAGCTTCGAATTGACGAACTGTTTTTCCGGACATATGCGAAAGTGCTTCAATGCCTTTGCCAAGTGCTAGGCTCTGCTGTGCTTTGCACTAACTTGAGCTGACTGAAGGCCTGGCTTGCAACTTTCACTAGTCAAAGCCTGACATGCAGCAGCGAGCGGCTCCTAAGTTTCATCATTAGGGGTTTAGGGTTTGGGGTTTAGGGTTTCGAGTTTCGGGTTTAGGGTTTAGGGGTTTGGAGCTTCTGATGTAGGTTCTAGGACGTAGGCGAGGCAAGGTGTTGGGGTATTACATTAGACGCGCAGCATGAGGAAGGAATAGGCCATGCAGAGCAGCGTGTACGAAACCCTAAACCCTAAACCCCAACGAGGTAGATTGTTGGTAAGATGTTTTGGTTCCGGGGGCGAGAAACTTCTCTTGCTTTTCCGAGCATCGTTGTGGTGATAGCCCCCAGCCGCGCCCGAAGCCTGGAAAGGCAAAGGCAGGAAAAGTTCAGGGCCAGGACGGGAGATGAGTCTTTCCGAAGGTCAGGGTACCTTATTTGGGGGTCCGTATAATAAGGATCCTACTTTAGGGTCTCCTATTTTCGGCAACCCCCATATCAGTCTAGGCCGCTTTAGGGTTTAGGGTTTGGGGTTTAGGGCTGAGAATTAAATCCCAAGCCTCAACCCCGAACCCCAAACCCTAACCCTAAATCTTAAACCCGAAACCCTAAACCCCAAACCCTAAACCCTAAATCCTAAACCCTAAACCCTAAACCCCTGAACCCTGCAACCCAAACGGAAGGAATCGGAAATCGGGCCTTTGGCTGACTGCCAGCACCTCCTCCTGCTCCATGTCCTTCCTTGGGCCAGGGAACTCTATGTTAAGGGCTTAGGGTTTTGGGTTTAGGGTTTTGGGTTCAGGGTTTTGGGTTCAGGGTTTTGGGTTTAGGGTTTTTGGGTTCAGGGTTTTGGGTTTTGGGTTCAGGGTTCAGGGTATCGGTTTTTAGGGTCTAGGGTGGAAGCCCTGAACCCTGAACCTAGCGAAGGAAAGAGGCGAGCAGCTTTCGGCTTAGGAGGTCCTAAACCCACCTAAACCCTAAACCCTAAACCCTAACCCTAAACCCTAAACCGCTTTAGGCGCTAGACATCCGAAATCTTAAAACACCGGAGCCCTTGAGCTCGAGAATGTCAAACCATAAGCCTTCACCCTGCAGATGTGTGAGACAGAGATAGAGGCAGAGACCGAGAGAGAGATAGAGACGAGGGGGGACACAGACATAGATAGATGGAGACGAAGAGAGATAAAGAGATAGTAATAAGAATAGATGTGGTTGTACACACAAGTGGTATGTAGTCGTCTTCGATCTATACATGCACAGGTGTGTAGCAATTCGGATATGTATATATATATATATTGTATATGTGTATGTACATGTACATGTACA